GAATATGGCCTGTCTTGTTTACTCCACTATCTCCAGTGCCTAGAAGAGTGGCTGGCATAGAGTCAGTGCTGCAATCAGTGGTCTCATCTGAAGGCTCACCTGGGGAAGGGTTTGCTCTAAGCCCCCTCATGGTTGTTAGGATGTAGTGCCTATTGGTGCCTTTTGGGCAGCTGCCTGGAGCTCTCCCTCATTTCCTTGTCTTGGAGCTCGTAAGGCAGCCCACAGCACGTATCAGAGTGAAGAAGCGAGAGAGCAAAAGAGGGCAAGTAAGACAGAAGGTAAAACAGTTTGGGGACCTAATCTTTGAGTTGACATCTTATAACATTTTGCCATATTCCGCTTATTAGAAGCAAGTCACTGGATCTGGCTGACATTCAAAAGGAAGGAGATTACACAGGGTGTGACTACAAAGAGGTGGGGGAATATTGGGTGCCGTCCCAAGGCAGCCTACTCATACTCCTTCCCTCAGCAACTATTATCCTGTTTGCTGCTTCGTTGTTTTTCTTTAGGATGCAAACACTATTTCACACGCATGGTTTGTTCTAGCTTTCTCGTCAATTGTCTTTGTCTCTTTGTCCTCTCTTGCTATGACAGATTGGAGATGAAATTTTAGAGATCAATGGCGAGACCACCAAAAACATGAAGCATTCTCGGGCTATAGAACTGATTAAAAATGGTGGCCGCAGAGTTCGTCTGTTTCTGAAGCGAGGAGACGGCTCAGTACCAGAATATGGTGGGTCAAACTATGAAAACATTCCTTCCTTCCCTGGCATGACTCCATGAATTTGTCTCCAGACGGCAGCAGGAAAGTCTTTTTTTGTTCCCCTATTCACCAGTGTCTTACCAGCCTCTCGCACCATGTGATTATTTGCCTCGCTTGTTCTGAAATCTCTACACATTTCATCCTTTTGCTTGCTTACGTGGACTGGGGCATGGCCTAAGACAGGACCGTTAGAGCCCCCTTTCTGATAATCAGAGAGAACGTTTTGTCTAGTCCGACCAAGAGCGAAGGAATGTTTGTTTGAACTGTGCCAAAACTGTTCCTCAGACCCAATTGTTAGCACAAAATGACTATATAGTCCTTTTAAGAAGCAGGAAAGCAGGTTTCCTGGCTGATATGTTGAGGCACAATTTTTTTTCTTCCTTTTTGGTTATTCAATGTCCTATTTAAGAGGCGTGAAATTTCAAGACAATTTGGGGGCTTTGCTTACCTTCTTTATGGTCTCTATACAACACTTCTCCATTCCCTCCACTGGTCTGTTACCCCAAATCAGACCATGAGCCCACTACTATCCCACAAATAAGAACTGTTGATTTATCAGCCATATGTTTTTAAATGGAAAAGGATGAAATCAGTTCCCAGTGCTCATCATGAGGGAAACATGCTCCTATACCTTTCCTATGAGGAAAGCCAAGTTATACATAGAGTTCCTTTGTCATATCTGTAGACATGATTTGAGTAGACAGCAGTGATCTTTACATAGCTTAGTGTTGATGGCAAAATACTGTATAATAATTATGTCCTATTTATTTGAGATTCTTGTTTAAAATTGAAAAAAAAAAAAAGAAAAAAAAAAAAAAAGAAGCTATGCCCTAGATGTAGGGCTTTTTTCCCAACCAAAGGTCTACAAAAGTTTCTATAGAAACTGTGATTGAATGGTCCCCATATATGTTGGTCCCCTTTATTAGGGATTTATCTGTTATCACCCTTCTTTCTGCAAAGTCAGTCTGCACAATTCCCATTTTGGACTTGATGCTTTGCTTAATTCAGATGCAGCTGAAAGAGAAGGCTAGCTCCTTTGAAGGGCAGCCTTCCCAGGTGTTGGACATGTGTACAGCGGCAAAATGCAGGGGTCCGAGGTAGCAGGGGTGGACGGGTATCCGATGAGGCCCCTTTAGACATGGCCAACCACACCGGAAGCGTTTGGACAGCGTTAGATGCCATGGCTGTGCACTGTACTAAACTTCTGACCCTGAGGTGTATTGATGCCACTGAAACTGTAACATTGTCTCCCTTTTCTGTCTTCCCTATGCTTCTGTTGGATGTGACCTTTCATTTGAGAGTCATCGTCAGTAACCTGTGTACCTTCTCAAAACCTATGTCTGTTGCACTGAGGATGAAAATCCACCACTAACAAATGTTCTTTGGGCTAAAAATAAAGATCATTTAAATACACGGTTTTCCAAGAAGGGTTGAACATGCCAGGGTTATGCTGCTGTAATGTCTCCATGCGTCATTTGGACTAACTCTCTCTAATTCTCTCGATTAGAGTCATAAATGGGTTATAATATGTTACGTTCCAATATTTTTCTGACTTGATTGGAACCTGCTTCTCTGTGAGGCTATTTTTGTAATGAGTTTTTTGTACTTAATTTAACTGCCGCGGTCATGGGGCGGGGGCGGGAGAGGGAGGGGACTTTGTTGTTTTGTTGTTTATTGTTAATGCTCTCCTATACCAGCCTGTCATTGTTCCAGTTGTTTGAAAAAAAAAAAAATGATGCATCCATTGTCTGGGTTCTCGAGTCACCTATGGCTGTCTAAAAACGTCACTGTTCTGATTGCGGTCTCTGCAGCCTTATTTGAGTGTTGCCTTAGACTGTCTGACTGGACAAATAAACTCTCTTTGCCCTATGTTAACAATGCAGATTTTTTTTCTTTCCTCTGTGTTATAGGGAATCTAAATGTTCAACTTTTTCTCTTTCTCTCTTTCTCTTTCTCTCTGACTGTTCTTGGTGCTGGGCCCTCCCTTCTACAGCGATGATACCTCCTAATATCGCTGCATGTATGAGAAATGAAAAGCTCGGGGAGGCTTGCTTCTACCTTATGGGCCATAATCAAACTACGGTTTGTAGCTCAATCAATACTAGGTGTTTCTGTGCTGTGGCCTAATTTCCTCATTGCTTCTGCTTAGCTCTATTTTGATATGTTTGGCAATTCATTCTGAACACCCTGCGTTCTTTGAATTGTAAGTACACTGCTGACCCTGTTGAAGTCTTGCTCTCCCTTGTCTTAAGGGTAGGCATAAGAACCCAAGGTTAGAGTTACGACAGTGATCCCACCAAGTGGCTTCCCTCACCCATATCGTCAATGACTTGTTAAGAACCTATTTGTGTTCATTCTATTATAGTAGCCAACCCTGCATTTAAAAAGAAAGAACTTTATGAAAACACAGAGCTCTTACCTAGGTAGATAGGGCTTTGCCAGATGGGAGGATAAGATTCCCTGCTTGGTCAGGTAGGTCTCCACAGCTGCAGGCCAAGAGTCAAATCCTGTCCACAGCAACCCCTTTTAATTAAAGTTCTATTGACACATAGTCATGTCCATTTCTTTTACATGTTACCTATATTTTTGCACTACATTGGCAGGCTTCAATAGTTACAACAGGACTGGGTGTCCCACAGAGCCCAAAACATGTACACTCTGGCTCTTCAGCAAAAGTTTGCTGACCCCCTGCTCTAGTGTATTTTCCTGCTTTTATCAAAACCTGCCCTACATTCAGGGAAGTCAGTCGTGAAGCCGATCAATTCCTTAATATTGACCTCATTGCCTCATGAAAGATCCTTAAAGAGCCCCAGTGATCCTTTCGTGTCTGTCACATGGGTTTGTCCTCCGCCCAGCAGCACGCCGTTTCAGATGCCTTGCCTGAAGTGACAGAATGTGTCTGACTTCTTGGGTTTAGTGGCAACAAAGCCTCCCTGCTTTGAAAAGAGCTCTCATAAATTCAGGATGCTGCCTAAAACATTTGCAGTGTCATTTTAACTAGTTTAAAAATAAACAGGAGCCACGCGGGGCCGCCCTGCTTTTGAATCTGTAGATGTCTTGATGTGATAAGAACCCGGCCACTAGCTCCACAGCTTCTAGACATATGACTCCTTCCAGCACCTGAAAGAAAAAGTCCCTCTAAACACAGGATCTCGTCTGAGCCCTTCCTCATTTCACAGGGACATCTAACAACCTCTCTTCCCCTCCGTTTTAGCTATCAGAACACGCCACCTTTTTTTTTTTTTTTTTTGAAGAGAGAGATTTTTGCTATAGGGTGCATGTGCTTGCCAGAGAGACAGAAAGACAGAAAGTGAGAAATCACCCCCAGTGTGGATGGCCTTGTCACAATCCCTTCTCGCCCATTCTCCTCTCAGAATTTTGAGCATGCACGCGCATGCACCCAGCATGAGTTTTAAGTTGCCGGGTCCAGGATTCAAACAGTCAACTACATGGGAGTCTAGCGATGTAACTAACCCCTATGCCATGTCCCCAACACTCCACATTTTAAAAATTCCTCTTTTAAAGTTAACACAAAAAAAATAGAGAAAACACACAAAATAGCAAGGGCAGTATAATGAACCCTCAAGTACATGCCACATCTGCCCGTCCCCGTAATCCCCTTTGCCCACTACCCTGGATTATTTTTTAAAATAGAAGTACACTTTGCATGTGGTATAATGCTTAAGTCCTATTTTCTTATGTCTGTAAGCACGCATTTATTCAGCGCCTACATGAGACACAGACTGTTTCCATACCCTAGAAAGCGTCCCGTGTGTCCCTCTAGATTAGAACCCCAGATTATTTTTAAGCAAATAAAAATAAGTATTCTTTAAAGAAAGGAATATTTTCTTTTGGGGGGGTGGGGGAGGGTAGGTGCTGGGAAAGGGGTTGGTGGGAGGGAGGAGTAAGGAGCAAGGGGTAGTTTAGACCATGGGGCGTCTTGATGCTTCTAGATGCTTCTAGACAGATCAGTTGGGTTGTGCCTTTAAAGACTAAAGTCGTGACTGATCTTGTAAATTCTTCAGTGATCCATGTCCTGGGTAGAGAGAACAGTCAGCTAGATCCAACAGCCACGAGTCCTAGTCTAACCCTACCTAGTGGCAGTGGCCCTTCAATTAACCCAGACCCAGTTGGCTCTGATCCCGACCGCTGTAACAGTTGTTCGTTTGTTGTGACTAATGAGATCCTGAGGGCGGGCGGGAGCGGGAATGGAGCTGAAGGTCTTGTACCAAACTGCGGCTCTCGTTTGTCTTCCTCGCAGACCCCAGCAGCGACAGGAACGGCCCCTCCACCGGTCCCCAAGGTGTTCCGGAAGTGAGGGCCGGGCCCTCCGACCGCAGACCGCATCCGTCATTGGAGTCCAGTTACCCACCCGATCTTCACAAATCATCACAGCATGGGGAAAGGCGGGCACACGCGAGAGATCCCAAAGGCAGCAGAGAGTACAGCAGACCACCCAGCGAGCACCACACCTGGAATGGGACTTCTAGAAAACCCGACAGCGGGGCATGCCGACCCAGGGACCGGGCACCCGAGGGCCGCAGAGAAGCGCAGGCTGAGCGGATGACAACCAACGGACCCAAGAGGAGACCCGCAGACAAGCTCAGGGAAGGCACCCGCAGCGCCGACACCACTTTGGAGCGGCGGGAGAAGCACGAGAAGAGAAGGGAGGCGTCTCCGGAGAAGAGGCGGGAAAGGTCCCCCACCCGCAGGAGGGACGTCTCGCCTGGCCGTCGGAGGAGGTCTCTGGAAAGACTCTTGGATCAGCGGAGGTCTCCGGAGCGCAGGAGAGCCAGCTCGCCGGAAAGGAGAGCCAAGTCGACCGATCGGAGGCGGGCGAGGTCCCCGGAGCGAAGGCGAGAGCGGTCACTGGACAAAAGGGGCAGGGAGGACAAAGGCAGCCACCGAGAGAGGGAAGAGGCCGATCTGAGACAGGATGCCGGCAGGAGTTCCAGACACCCCCCGGAACAGAGAAGGCGACCTTACAAAGAATGTAGCACCGACCTCAGCATCTGAGACTCGGACTCGCATTCCAACCTTTACCGTGTCAAAGGTTCTAGGAGGAGGGTCACAAACCTGAGATCATTTCGGTTCTTACTAATGAAGCATCTGACACCTGATGATCCTACGAATAGCGACAAACATTTTATGCATTTGAAACCTTATAGGAAAACAAATATATATGAAAAGTGTTGTGCCTGATGTATAATATTAAAGAAAGTATTTTTCAATGCGTACCTTTTTGGAAATTATTTGCCAAATGCTGGCCCGAAGGGATATAAATTTCATTTCTACATAAACAGTAGAATTTTAAGAATTGTTCCCTGTTTTGGGCAGTCTTTTTCTCTCCTGGTTAAATGGGGCTGCTGGTGATTTTCTCTAAGTAAGGGAAATTATTACGTTGAATTAGTTTGCTGTAGACTATTAGGTAGTGATGTAGTACTACACCCGTAGTCAGGAGTTCTTAAATGCAAAGAGCAAGAAGGCAAACTAATATCTGTAAAGGCGGAGGACCTTTTGGGCTGGAGTAGGATTGCTGATGATCCTAAAATTAAGCAAACTGTGTGATGAGACTACTATTGCAAATGAAGGATATTTATAGCTAAACTATGCAGTGCAAGGAAATGTTACCTTCTTGAGTTATAGATGGTTCAGAAAACCATTTGTACTCTCTCTGGCCCAGGCAGGCACAGGAACAAGAAGTTTGGCTGCCATTGCCCAAGCACAGATGGTCAGGTTCATCCTCATCTCCGACATCTAATAAGAGCTCACTGAAGGCAGGGCCATTGCCGCGTTGCTCAACTACTGGAAAGATGGACAACGCCGGGGGTGAGGGAGACCTAAGCTCCCCAGTAATGGAAAATATGTTCCCTGTTTGTAGCCTAAACCCATGATTGACCTTTGCTAAACCGGGGAGGAGAGAATGAGCCTTGCTGGAAGAAACCTCTCTATTGATATTTAAAGAAGTAAGGGTTGGGGGCACTCATTCTTAGAAATGCAGCTTTTTGCTTCAAAACCATGATCAAAGTCTCTAGGTTCATGGATGGGGAAGGAAGAAAGTTATCCCAGTAATTCTTAATCTTGTTGGGAAACCTCTGCCCTATTACCCTGTCCATTGAGTCTTTGGACAGCAGCACAAGACATAATTTTTCTTTTGAATCCACCCCCACTTTTTGGGGGATCCTGCGAGGAGGTGTGGTTGGGTCAGCCAGGGCCCCGGGATGTGGTTTAAATGGATTACTGCCTAGCTGAGCCAAAACGTTTGCTTGTACCTGTTGGACCACTACAGCAAACCGCTGCTTACAGTGCATTGTGTATTTATGTAGTACTGTTCTGCATTTTCCATACAGAAACAAAATTTGCAAGTCAATCACTGTCTTTCCCATGGTACTGTTAAGGGGAAAAAAAAGGAAAAAGAAAAAAAAAGAAAGAAAACCAGCCGATCATTGTATGTACAGAGTTAAAAATTGTAATTAATAGAGCTTGTTGGGAAAAAAAAAAAAAAAAACAACTGTTGCCTTTTTTTCTTGTATAAAAGAGAATATATGACAAAAATTTAGCTGTGAGGAATGTGATATGTGTTTATATTTCTGACTATGGAACAAATTGATTCAAGGGGATATATTTTAATGTAAACTAAATCAGGTATGTAAAGTTGTTTTAAAATGGGAGACTATATGAGTAATTCTCTAAAGCTTTAGTTGGTTTGAATACCCTCATTTCCTCCACGGTGAGCCTGCTCGTGAATTATTAAGCACTTGTTTGCATTCTCTATTCCTCACTCATCATCTTCTTGCAGTGTGCTATGGACTTAATGCTCTTTCGGTATTGATGGAAAGCAGTATGTGGGCCAATCTTTTTATAAAACACTATGCATATATAAATATTACATTGTTCATAGCTTTACTCGACTTATGGGTTTATACATGACATTAGAATGAGTAGCTACCGTTGTGTGGACATTTATAAACCAAGTTCCTTTCCTGGAACAGACACAATGTACATTCTATAGCTAAAAAGAAGGAAAAAGGTCTGTGAATGCTATTTTTATTATCAGAATTTTCGATACCAAGCATACTTTGAGCTGTGGTAGCGAGGCTGAGGAAGAGTACAACTGAATAACGATGTTATTTTTCATCAATTTTCTAGGAGCTGACATGGAGGTATTTTTCCTAAGGCTCCACCTGCTAGGATTTTTCTCACTACTTCTATCAAAATCTGTGATGTTAAATGACCAATGCACTCACTTGTGGTCCAGAGTTTAAAATAAATGAAATCAAGGTAGATTTGGGGGGAACATGTGAAAGTTAACATCTTGATGTGAGAGATGATACCTGTCATTTTAAAATCTGTGTGCAACTCTCCTGGGCTTGTCTTGGTCCATGACAACTTTTGGTATGGCAGTTTCACCTAAGTCCCACACATCAGATTTGCTTTGGAAATATTGTACTGTACAGGGACTATGCATTAAGCAGAAAGATATAGTTTTCTTGGAACTACTGTAACCTTAAATTGGAAAATGATTCTTGTGAGCCTACTTTCCCTCCCCCTCCTCCCCTTCATGTAAATGTCTTGATGAGAGATGATGGATGAAGTATTTTGTATGATTCAATCATTTGAATTCCTTTCCCCCCATTATACAGTTGATGCCTGAAAGAATGTTGGGGGGAGGACTCAAAACCCTACTTGTATTTTTTAAGTTTCTTTTGTGAAAGATTTTTTAATGCATTTTTACTGTAAAAATACATGGAAATGTATGCATTCCATAACCACTATTGCTTCTGGATTGGTATCTTCCTTGCCTCCATGTTGTCTCAAATGTATCAAAGTCAAGTAATCAGTTGAGGAGGTCTGATTACACCTCAATGAAAAAACGTGTTCTGTAGAAAGAGAAGGAACTATGCATCTGTAGTAATCTAGTGGCTTGGTGCTCAAAGCGTGTTCCATGGACGGCTGCTTCTCCATTGCTGGGGCACTTGCTAGATATGCAGACTCTCAGACCCTGTTCCACACCCCTGAGGCAGAATGTGTGCTTGACAAGATCCTCGGCTAATCTGTACGTACGAGAAAGTTTGACGTTAGAACCTGGTTCTAAAGCACACCGAGCCAAGCGAGAATTTGATCACTTCCTAACTATGGTTCTTGGGCACATTCTTCTACGTCTTTTTAAGCCTCAGTTCCCTCACCTGTAAAGAGCATACCACATAGGGTTGGTAAGAATAGATGCAAAGTAGCACAGCTCTGGCCGTCAGAAGAGTCCTCAGTTACTGACACTAATTTTTTTGTTGTGGAGGATGATTTTCTACACAGCAATAAGTATCCTGCTTTCATTGCCCTGGTTTATTTTCCAATCGACATGGAGACAAGTATCTTCTCACTCTGACAATGGAGAAGGCCTTCTGTTTTCACTGTAAAGTTAAAGATTAATAATGTTGATCACGTTACTTAGCAAGTATATCTATATTTACCTCTGTTTTTAATTATTTTATTTATTATTATTATCGTCATTATTTTTATGTTTGCTTTAGATCATGTGCGCTCACCAGAGAGAGAGAGGGGGAAAGTGAGAAAGTAAGCCACCAGGTCTGGGACTCATGGTTCTCCAAGTGAGTCCAGCTCCTTAACTGCCATGCCATTTGTTGCCCTCTTTTTTTTTTTTTGGAGAGGTTTTTTTCACTATAGGGCACGTGGTGCGCTCGCCAGACAGACAGAGAGACATAGAGAGAGAAAGCGAGAAATCACCCCCCAGGGGGGATGGCCACACCACAATCCCTTCTCCTCCATTCTCCTCTCGGGATCTTGGGCACGCACGCACATGCACCCGGCGTAAGTTTTAAGCCACCGGGTCCGGGATGCGAGCCGCGGTCGACTACGTGGGAGTCCAGCGACATAGCCATTACGCTAACTGCTGGTTCCCCCACTTGTTGCCCTCTTTTAGCACTATTTTGAAATACAAAACCAAAATGCTACACTGTAAAAAACATAACTTCTGGAGGTAGACACATGTATGGAGTTAAGACATACAGCCAAGTGACACTAGATGAGAAAGTTATTCCATTTTAGCTTTCATGTTTATCAGGTAGTTTCAAATAACTTCCCAGTTTCTATCAGTTTTTGAGTTGTTCCTTTTTGTGACCTAGTGATTCAAGTTTTCCTATAGAAGCTAAGCTCTTGGCCATTCAGAATGGTATTGTGTTTAACAGTAGGCCTTCCTAGAATCGATGTCTTTTGCTTTACTTTGTCACCAACATGGTAATTATGGACATTGCTCACTTTTCTAGTATCTCTTTTGTTACAGATGGCATCTAGAAATGGCCCCTGGCTTAGCCAACAATTGAAGCTGTTGTAAAGCCCTTGTGTTGTACAAGTTCTTTGCCTGCCATAAATAGCCACACGACAGAAAAAGTACAGAGACTCAATTACCGCTGTCAGGATTTTTCCTGCTGGTGGGCAATCCAAGACCACCTTTGACGGCCTGCTTAATCATGAAAAGAAGAGGCCTTTCAAGTTCCTCCAGGTGATTGTTCTTATAATGAGGCAACAGGGCCAGCATTGTGGGTGTTCAGCACAATGAGCTCTGAGTGCTCTTGGAACACACGTCATGACAAGCTTGTGAGAAGGGAAATGACAATCCTGGGCCTTTTGTAACACAATTATTTGGGATGCTTCTTGCAGAGGTGGGTTTTCTGGGAAACTTTTTTGACTCTTCCTCCAGTGATATTTTTATGCATTGCAGTCATTGTCAGGGATGTGAGGACGGTGGTTTTACTTTATTCGTTCAGACATTAGGTGTTCACAGTGCATGATCTCTTCGATAGTATATGGATTTAAGCAAAGTGGTTAACTGTTGCATTATAAGGTAAATACTCAAGTATTGCATGTGGTGGCAACCCTAATAGTATTTCATCTTTCCACTGACTGAAAACTTCTTTGTCATGTCTCTAGAGGAAATAACAAAGGCATGATCTATACAGCCTGGAGTGCTAAATGCTATACCAATCAGTACTATCCTTAGAAGCATATAGTTATCTAGAGACTAAATTCTCTTTAATCTTAAAGGACTATAGAATCGAAGAGAAAATAGCTCAGAAGGCCTGCTGATTCCTATGTGGGTAATAGGCAAGGCTTGCTACTCAATTACCCATTTTCTTACACATTTATTGATGACAAATTGCCAGGTACATGCTGATCTTCGAAATACCTGAGCTGCTTCTGGTTGGATGGGGGAAGACAGACAAGTATGTGTAAATCACACACCGAGCGAGCGAGGCACAAGTTCCTGTGATAGTAATTAATAGGAGATTTAGCCAGATTAAGGAAGAAAAAAAAAAAAAAGCCAAGTAGTGGACCAGCAGGTGGCATGGAGATTAAGGTGCCTGGAGCCCACATTGCTGATTTCAGAGTCCAAGTCCCAGACCCTGTGGCTTGAAAATCATACCAGACATGTCTGCATGCATGCTCAAAATCTTAAGAGGAGAATGGAGGAGAAAGGTTTACAGAATAGCCATTCCCCCAGGGGATGATTTCTCATTTCTCTCTCTTTCTCTCTGTCTCTGGCGAGCTCATGCACCCTGTAGCAAAAACTAAAAAAATGAAACCAAAAGCCAAGTACCGGCTGAGGCAAAGGCCCAGATTGGGAGAGTGTGGTCCAAATGGAAGGGTTGCACCATGAAGGCCTAGGCTGGCCTCTGAATTTTAGTAGCAGGAGACCATTGAAGAGTTTTCACAGTACCCTGGTGAGTTCTGTATGTTGAGGGAGGCACATACACAGTAAGAGTTAAGTTTGAGAAACATGGTCTCACAGCACCATGGAGAGCAGGTGAGAGGGAAGAAGCAAAGCCAGTCCAAGCAGCGGTTAACCTATCCTAGTTAACAGAGATTCTCATAGCTGTCAAGTATAAGGCCCATGTTAACCATCTTATTAAAGAATTTATTTTCATTCCAACCTCAATTCTTCTACTTCTCTTTGCTATGCCTTTCTTAATTAACTCAGACAGAACAACTTAGTGCCCCATCTCTTCTGTCAGATAAGGTCAGTTGTTTACTATTTTACTTGTTTGAGTTTTTTTAGGTTTTTTTGTTGTTGTTATCTTATAAATTCCCACCTTGCTACCCTTTCTTGGTTCAAATACTGGTTTGAAATCTTGTCATCTTGTTTTCTTTTGTTTTTGTTTTTGGTTTTTTTTGAGGTTGATCACGTGTTTCTCAAGGTACAGACATCTGTTTAAGTAACACCCAATCTCTGCGTACATTCTCCATATTTGAGTGTTAAGAAGGGAACCACTCCTGTTAGCCCAACTGCTTGGGAGGCTCAGACAGGAAGATCAGGACTTCGAAGCCAGCCTGGATAACACAGTGAGACCCTGTTTCAAAACCAAACAAACAAGAGAGGAACTACCTAGATGCCTCATGTTGAAAAGCCTTTATTTTTAACTGACAAAGCTAATGTATACACATAATAAGAATATTAAAGCAGGGCAGCTATGGTGACATGAGCTACCACAAGGCTGTGCTCCAGGGACAGGAGCACATGGGTGGCCTGGGTTCACTTCGTAGTCCAACCTGAAGGTCAGGTGCAGTACTGCACCCCTATAATCCCAGAGACTCGGGGACTGAGGCAGGAAGATCACAAGTGAGAGACTGGCCTGGGCAAAAAAAGAGACCCCTGTCTAAAAGCGGAGCGTGGTGGTGTGTGTGTATAGTCCCAGCTGAGGGGCAGAGGCAGAGGGATTGCAAAAGCAAGACACTGTCTTAAAAAATAATGATAAAATAAGTAAATAAACTCAAGCATTTTCAGAAGAGCATAAAATGAAAAGTGACATGCTTCCTCACTACCTGTCATTCCTAATCCACAGAACGACTATTACCAACAGCGTGGCTCATGACATTTCTGATCTTTTTTCTCCATGTCTATAAGCGTGTGTATATGTAAATGTTTCTATTCATACACACATACGTATATACACTCACATGCCATATGACTACATTTGGGTCACAGGACAGACCACACATGCTGTGATGGTCCCGTAAGGTTACTGTCACATACCATCTAGATTTGTGTGAGTGGGCTTTATGGTGTTCACCCAATGACAAAATCACTCAGATGCCTTTCTCAGGACGTATCGCCATGTTAGGGAGGGCATGGCTGAGCATGGTTTTGTTTTCTTGAAGAAAAAGAAAGGTTCTTGATCCTCTGTATTACAAATGTGTTGCCATGTTAGGAGTATGTGTATACACACAGGCAGACACACACACACACACACACACAAGTAAACTGGGATAAGTCTCCTGCAGCTCTTCCCATTCTCTGTCTTCTCCCCTTCTCTCTTGGATTATGCAGGAGCTTCCTCACTGTTCTCCCTATCTTACCCTTGTCCACCTCCAGATGCATCTCCCTAGAGCAGCCGCAGCAAGTCTTTAAAATGTCAAGTGAAAGGTCAAGTCCTTAAATAGGCTGTGAGAGAGACCCAGCATGGTCCAGCTCCTCTCCTTTCTGACACTTCCTCCTCCATTCTGCTCCAACCACACTGCAGGTGCACCCCCAGCCCGAGGAATTGCACTTCAGCTAGTCCCCCTACCTAGAATGCTCTTTCTCCAGGGTTCCATGACTGACTCCCTCACTCCATGCACATCTTTGCTCACACCTCATTCTTCCAATGTGTCCTACCCTGAACATCCTATTTGAAATAGCTCCTCAATTCATTTGTTCTACTCCCTCCCCCTCACCAGCACTTAACTGCCTTCTAACGTGCCGTATAATGTATGTACTTGC